ATGGTTTAATGATGAAGACATGATAAAGACGTGAAAATTGGCGGAAATCGACCCAAAAACAATAGATTTTGAAGAATTTTAGAGAGGGGCGAGGGGTTTATGGAGTAGTATGTTTTAGGGTTTGATAAAATGAAAAAAATGGGAATTTTGACCTTTAAAACGTAAATATAACCCCGAATATCAATACTCTCACGCCAAAAAAGTTGGTATCGATACAGAGTATCGATACCCATCACGATGCTATAGGAATAGTATCGGTACTTGATGAACAATTTCGATACTAATGAAGAATTATATCGGTGCTGTAAGAACAGTAGCGATACTAAATGCACGAAATGGTACAAAAAATTTGACAAATAAGTCCTAAGAAGTAATTTTATCACAAATTAAGCACATACAACACATCTGGCCATATGAGACATAAAATTATGACCAAGATACAAACATTCATTCATTCATACAAGGTTTAACAACAAAAACACCTATGAATGCTAAAGTTGCATGAATCTCTTGTTAAAGTGCACCAAAAGTGTAGAAGTCATAATGCATACTTTAGGGCATCAATAATGCTATCAGTAACTCTAAATAGATATAAAAACACGTTTAAGCAAAAAAATACACATTCAAGCATAATTTGAACGCTTCATCAATTTTAATGAAAAATCCTAAACTCCCCCTAACTAATTGTATAATAGGCATCAAAGAAGTAATTTAGCATGTTTTTTCAAAAATACAAAAATACATAAAATATTTAAACACAAAATCAATGTAGGTTGTTAAACCTAATTCTTTCCTAAGTGCCCAAAATCTTTCTTATCTAAAGGTTTTGTAAAGATATCCACAACTTGATACAAAGTGTCTACATACTCTATAACTATATCTTCCTTGGAGACATGAACTTTAATAAAATGATGTCTAATTTAATATGCTTAGTTTTAGAATGTTGGATGGGATTTTGGTGACACAAATAACACTAGTATTGTCACACTTGATAAGGATAGTACCTATCAATTCCATAATCTATTAGTTGTTGTTTCATCCATAAAACTTGAACACAATAACTATCGGCCGAAATGTATTCCACTTCATTGGTTGATAATGTGTTTCTTTGAAAACCATGAAATCAACATATTTCATAGGAATTGGCAAGTATTGAAGGTGCTTTTTATATCTAATTTACAACCTCCAGAATATGCATCCGAGAAGGCATTCAAGATAAAGTTAGAGTCTCTAGGATACCAAATTCTTGTACTAGGAGTGTCTCTAAGGTATCTAAATATACCCTTAATGGCTTGTAAATGTGATTCCTTATGACATGATTGAAATCTAGCACATAAGCAAACACTAAACATAATGGTCGATCTACTTGGTAAGATAAAATAATGATCCAATCGTAGTAATAAGTTGATAATGTTCCATAGGCTTCGGATATAATCGTCCCAAAGTAAGAACAATAAGGGAAGGTTTGGACATATGAGATTGCCAAGTAGGGTTTGAATAAGTTAGAATTTGGATCGATTCGAGTCTAAAAAATAAGCATATTTGGATTTAGTTTTGGGCTGATTCAGGTTTAGACTTACGGTGTGTAGATTTGGAATTGGCCTAAAAACTAAGTTTGAAATTTGTGCTGAAAGAAATCAATTTTAGGATATTTATTTTCTTGTAATTGATTTTTCAAAAAATATTTTTTTTTTTTCAGTGTTTGATTGACAGAAATTAGATAGCCAATGTAGTTCATTTTCATAATCAATAGAATTTTCTTTATATTTCTGGAAATTACTTACTGTTTAATTTTTCATAAATAATTTTTTTAAAATTTTCACTTCAAAAAGTACTCAAAATATTATTAATTTATATATTTAATATTAATATACTATTTTAACATATTTTTAATGAATAAATTAATTATCAATTTATATTTATTGATACTTTTCATAATATAATATAATATTTTTAATTTTATGATAATATAAAGTATTATACTTGTATCTTAGTAATATAATGAAATACGAATAAAATTAATACTTATTAATATTATAGAAATAATATTATTTAACTATTGAATATTTAGAATATATTTATTAATAATTTTTAAAATTATATAATAATATTATTTTAAAATTATAAGTTTAAATTTTTAATAATATTATTTTAATAAGTATTTGATATAATTAATATATTATTTTTATTTTAAGAAATAATTATAATTTATAATAATTTTATTTTTTTAATAAAATACAATAATCTTAATATTTTTATTCAAAATATAGACATAATATTTTATTAATAATATTGACATAAATAATATTAAATAAAATATTCTAATATTTTAATAATAATAATATTTTTAATAAATAATATTATTTATTATATTGATATCTATAATAAATAGTTTCTAAAAAAATTATTAAACAACGGAAAATGATTTATACAACATCATACTAACATCGTAAAATGATTTCCATAGAATGTTTTATAGGAAATGTAATTTATTTTATGGAAATAATTTTTTGATATTTATTTTCTATAAAACAAACAGACCCTTAATATATATCAATTTAACTCCAGTCAAATTACTTTGAAAGAATAGTTAAATCGTAAAACATTAAGGTCCATTTAATTTTAAAAAAGTACTTTCTGTTTCTGTTTTCTTTAAAAAATAATTTTCAGTTTCAGTTTTATGAAAATTAGAAAACATGTTTAGTTAATATAAATGAAAATTTGAATTCATAAATAAAATAGTGAAAATTTATTTGAAATCTAATTTTCTAAAATAAAGATGAACAATTAGTTATTAAATATTTAAATTAAAATATAACTATTAAAATTTTCATTATATAAATTTAACATGTGAATTATATAAATATAAAATAATAAAATTGATAAGATATTTATAACAAAAAAATTATTTTAGTTTATAATAAGAATGTAATATTAAACATATTGAACATCAACTAAATTTAAAAAAATATACAAAAGTATTGTTGCAAGCAAGAGCAAACAAAATTGTCATTAAAGCAAATAATATGTTTAGTTGTATTGGAGACCCTCAAACTTTTGGAGAAAAACTAATGTAGCCCATAAATTGTTTTCACTCAATGTAATTCTTAAACTAAGAAAAAATAATATGACCCTTTAACCAATGTAATCAAACTTGATCGTTACGGCTCTAACATGACAATTTACAATGTTGTTATGACAGTACATAATGGACGATGATGTGGTTGATGAGCTTAATTGATATTTTAGCTAAGTTCGAGTGCCTAATTGATTTATTTAGAAAATTTGAAGTCTTATTTATTTTTTTATAAAAAAATATTTAACTTCAAAATATAAAATATAAATAATTATTACGATATTTAATATATTAAATATAAAAATAGCACATAATAAATTATTAAAAAATAAGGAACCACATTGATTTTGGTAAAAGTATGAGGGTTTTTGATACTATTAACTCAAAAAATTGTTGTTAGAAGGATTTGAACCTATGTAAGTGAAGTTAGAAATCTAGATCTTGATTTTTATATTTTTTATATTTTAAAAATAATTTTAATGAAAATATTGAATTTTTTTTATGTTTTCGTATTTTCATTTAGTTTTATTTTCATTTTCAAAAATCATTTTCTAATTTTACAACCAAGCCCATTTTCTTCGATGTTTTCTATTTTCTAAAAAAGTGAAAATGACCTATATTTCCTAGATCCAAATAGATCCTTAAACTTTTAATTTATGCAACATTGGACATTGCGTTAATCTTATTTTAATTATTTTTAGGGTAAACTATACTAGTAACCTACTAACTATACCACATGTAGTCTTCTTCAAGTCAAATAATTAGCCTTGTCCGTGGTTGATGTTCTCCTTTGTCGTCCACACAACCTAAGTTTGAATCTCATGGTCTCCTCTTCAGTGCATTTAATTTTCATTCACCCAGACAATGTCATGTGTCACCATCCGATTGAAGAATTAAATTTATTTTAATTTAGTACATTAAGTTTCTACCAATTTGAGGATAAAATTGATAGAATATATAACTATGAGTGACCAAATATATAATTATAACAATTTTATTAACCACATCAACACATCTGTTAAATGTTAACGACAAGTGACTTGATTGAATATATTTAAATAGTTGGATGTCCTGACAAAAATTCAAAAATGGTGGTCAAAATAAAAATAGGCTCACATCCATTTTTTTTAGTTTTCAGGTAAGTATCTCTCTACTATTTGACATTTAACAATCGTTGGTATTCCTAATCTTCGAATCCAATACTCAATAAATAACAACAATTACTTTATCAACAATATCAATTGATTCGTGTTTATTTTAATACTCCTGATTCCTGTAAATTGTAACCCTTTTAGTAAAAAATAATTGAGTTTTAGTTTCTCCATTAACAAAATAAACATTAATCTTTTAATTTCTCCGTTGTTTGAATATGAATTAAGTAGGATTTTAAAATATGGATATTTTAAGAAAATAAAAATAACTCCGAATATTGATAAAAAAAGGCTTAAGTTAAATGGTCATCTCTAAATAATGCAGAAGGAAAATAATCTAATAAGTTTCTGCCATGTAAAAAATAGGGGGGAAGGTCAAACACAATCTCTAAGGTGACATTAGTACTTCCCGGTAGGTTTAGTAGTCAAACCAAAGCCAAATGGGAAGAGAGGGTCATAATGTGGATCACCGATGTTCATGGGGAGCTGGTCTACGGTCTTGAACCATGTCCTCGCCAGCTTCCCGGCAGGGCCGTGGCTGGGGGCGCAAACTACGCGACCGCGCAGACCTCCCAAAAAATGGGCCCCAAAAAATATATATATATAGTGGCGTTTTACCAATAAACGCCACTATAGATGGACCTATTGCGACGTTTTTTCAAAAAAAAAAACGCCACTATTATTGCGGCTTTATTGATAAAACGCCATTATAGATGGATTTATTACGGATTTTGTCAAGAAAACGCCACTATTATTGCCCGAAATTGAATATATCAAGAAAATAGGGGCCCCTTTATACGAATTTGTACAGGGCCCTCGAAAACCCTGCCACGACCCTGCTTCCCGGTGAACCCATAGTTGCCGAACAGAACATCAGCAACACCTTGGCCCTCGGTCCCCGGAAGCCAAGCGGCTACAAGTGCATCAATCGACGAGACGTATGGCTGCATGACAACCGGCCTGCCCGAGATGACATCAACTACACATTTCATAGCTCCACAAACATTGTAAATGGTGTCGGGACCAGGCTGGGATATTGTAAGATTCAGGCTGTCACCATTCGTTTCGGCATACGGCGGTTCTCCCACAACAACAATGGCATGAGAGAATTTACCGGATTTGACAAACTGTGCATCAGGGTTCTGACTGTAAAGAACTTGAGTACTCCGATCAACCGTATTTTTAACAGCCTGGAGGATAGTTGTACCTGTTCAAGCAAGTTTCATTCAACAAAGCGAAACCAAGGATCTATTTCGATTTTAGCAAACCCCTTGAGTTAAGAGTAGTCAATAACAATGACAAGGTCTGAGGCAATACTGAAACCAAAACGATTTTCGGGTCATTTTATTTGTTGAAACCTAATATGTTGTTCGAGAGTAAAAAACATACCGGCTGTGAGATCATTGCCACTAAGACCCTGCCATGTAATGGTCCACCCGCCGCATTGATAGCCCAAGGTATCAGCATGAGTTCCGGTAACCAGTATCTTAGTTGCTTTCTTCGGAAGGGGTAACAATGGCTTATCAGAAGCCTCACCATTCTTCAATAAGACAAGTCTTTTCCTCACAGCTTCCCTAGCTAACTCAACTTAACATTTGCATCATGTCAACAACTCGTTTAGAATCTTTAAAGTGGAGGTTAAGTTTGTTGAAATTTGAATTGAACGTGGTTACTAGTTACAAGCATTTTAGATGTTTGAGCCACCGACGTCCAAAAATCACGTTAAAAATGATTATAAAAATATATTATTAAAAAAATTAATCTTATCAAATTGTTATTGGTTATTGGGAGGAGGACAAAATGATGATTAAAGCATGGAATAATTATTTACTTTATTTTTAGAAGAAAACAAAAGATTATGTAAAATGTGTAAAGGTAGGATTCATGGGAATATAGCCGTTCTGGAAATCAAATGCCAATGTACCCTCAAGTGGGCTGAGAAACAAATAAGTCGGTTGGTGTTTACATTTAGGGTAAACTATACCTATGGTCACTAATGTTTAGGTAAGTATTCATTTTTATTATTGATGTTTGAAATGTCATAAATCGGTCACTAACGTTATCGTTTGTTACAAAATGATCACTCGACGTTAACATCGTTACTTTGAGTGGTGAAAAGATGATGTGGCACGTTAATATGATTTTTGACACTGTTTGACCATTATTTTGACATACCCTTCTCTTTCATCTCCACTCTCTCATCTTCGTACTTTTTGGTAACTCAAAATCTACCATTTTTGGATGAATGAATGGGGGCCTTTCTTGCACAAACAAGGAATGGAACTAAACAAAGCCAAGAGGTTCTTGGAGCTAAACAAAGAAGCAGCAGAGAGCGTTTCATGGCTCACTATTCACCCTCATAGAGTTGGTTTCGAGGGAAGTTTCTACGAAGATTTTGTCGTACGTGGCATCCGTGTAGATCGGGTGGAGCCTGGCTTCGTTTCCTGCACCTTCAAGGTCCCTCCTCACCTCACCGTAAACTATCCAAAATCTCTATATGAAATTCTGTGAAATTAGAATATTATGAAATTTGGATTTTGCTACACCTATTCCCTTTCTCTCTATGCTTATTGAGTATGACATACCTGAGCATGAAGCTTTTTGGTTTCTCGAAGCATGTACTCGACACAAAGAGCCATGGAACCCCTCCATTAAAAAGGCATCAGGGTCATATGTATTCTCATTATGACAATATTGAGCTCTCTCTAGACGGCTAAATATTATGATGTCCTCTTGTTGAATTAAGGAGTACCTCACTACCTCAAGGGTCAAGTTCTCGCTCTCATCCACCCTTTAGCCTCATCGTCATTGATCTATAAAGATGTTACCAAAACATTAAGTCGACATAAACCTCCACCAAATGTTGAAACAAAATCAGCTACCACACCATAGAAACACCTTGTAAATGGAAAAATATTAAGAAAATGATGATTTGTATTAATTTGCATCTATGTTGTCCTTAACTCTCCATTTTTCTTAAATTATTGGCATCTAATGTATGCATAAAAATGAATCTCAAATAATTAAAAAAATCAAATATAGATAACATAGATGTGCATATGTGGCAGAATAGTGTTAAGAAGTATAGAAATCAATGCATTCATCCAAAGCAGCAGACAAAACACTACAACAAAAGTGTTATGTAGCGGCGTTTTTAACGACATTTTAAGGGAAAACGCCACAAACTTTAAGCATGTCGCGGCGTTTACAATACAAACGCCACAAAATCATACTTTAACGGTGTTTTTTAAACAAACGCCGCAATAGAGTGGTAATTTAGCGGCGTTTATAGCTCAAACGTCGCAATAGAGTTGTTTATAGTCGCGTTTTTCAACAAACGCCGCAATAGAGTGGTAATGTAGCGGCGTTTTTGTACAAACGTCGCGATAGTGTTATTTATAGTGGCGTTTGTTCAATAAACGATGGTATAGATTAGTAATTTAGCGGCGTTTATTAAACAAACGCCGCAATAGTATTGTTTATAGTGGCATTTGTGTAAAAAACACCGTAATAGAGTAATAATTTAGCGGCGTTTATCCTATAAACGCCGCAATATGTTGTTTATCGTGGCATTTTATAAAACGCCGTAAAAACATGTACTATAGTGGCGTTTGTTTAAAAAATGATGCAAAAGAGTCAATATATGCTCCACACTTTTCTACTGCCTAATCCCTAAAATCATTTCAACGCTACTTCCCTAAAAGGGATTTCTCTGGTACAACAACGACCCTCGCACGATTCCAGCCGACGTCGTCTTCTGTATGTCCCGGCGACCAAATTTGCCCTATCACTAGCGAACAATTATCTCACGATTGCACGGTTTGATCCATTCTCTCACTAGTGAACTTTTTCATTTATTTTTTGTTGGTATTCTGAAAATGGGGAAAACCCAGAAAGCTAACATAATGGAGAAATATAATAGCTTTCGAATAGGAAAAGAATATCTATACATATTGTTTTACTGGTTTACTGCTTGGGAGAAGTGTTTTTTTGCTTTCGAATAGGAAAATAATAGCTTCTGAAAACATGAATATCTATACGAAGAGCAGGTGTTGCATTCAGTAAGAGAAAATATAGTCAGAATGTCCACGTGGCGTCTTTGCTCTGACAATGGATCAAATTATCATTGGGAGGCTATCAATCCGAACTTGCCATCGAAACTCGATGATGACCCGAAAGACCCTCCTATTGCAAAATACCCTTCCATGGCCGATCTCCTAAGTGAAGGTAATAATTAATCGCTGAAATTTTATGCCACTATATTTTTATTTTGTACTCTAAAATTTCATAGATCGCACGCATGTAGGATGTTCAAAGCTTATTGAGAACGATGTTAGAGGAGTGGATAAATACCCGATGTTTAGAACCGAAATTGGTAACTCAGTGGCATTGAAAGAATCTTCAATTGCAAAAGCAATATCTATCCTCAATGAAGACGGCGTTGGCTCTACTGATACTCCAAGTAAACGCTTCTATCTTCTATTTAAATTTATTTAATGTTTGCTTCAGTTCCAAAGCCACCTCCAATCAAGTTTCATATTGTAGGTGGAAGGTCGATATCTGTTTCAAGTGAAGCAGTGCAACGCGTAAGGAGTCTTCTTGGTGAACCGGATGTAGGGGATTTATTTGGTGAAATGGATGAAGAGTTTCTCCATATATAGTTTACACGGAGGAAAAACTTAACGATGCATCGTCAAACAAGGAAAACAACATTCCTACATCTTTTCCCCACAAAGAAGCACAATTAAATTCTAGTTAACAATATGGTGAAGACTTTTTATGCATAACTTTAATGTTTCTAAATTTTAATGTATTTTGTTGTTAAGTATTTTTTATATATAACTTATGTCTTAATTAAAATGTATGGTTGTTGGTAATTAGATAAAACTACATGATAACTTATTTTTACAACAAACGCCGCAATATGTTCAACCATATATTTAATTTAATGTTTATCAAATTTAATTTATTATGTTGTTAAGCTTTGTTATGCATAACTTCTGGCTTAATTAAAATGTATGATTGTTGTTAATTAAAATGTATGATTGTTGTTAAGTTTTTTAAAACGCCACTATGCAGTAGAGCATTAGAGGCGTTTTTATAGAAACTAACTTTAATCATATAGAGACATTTGTTGTAAAAAAAACGCCACAATAGAGTAGTAATATAGCGGCGTTTAGCTCAAATGCCGTAATAGGGTTCACATATAGTGGCATTGTTTGATAAACGCTGCCAAAAATTATAACTTTAGCGATGTTTTGGTAACAAACGCTGCAAATGGGTCAGACTTTAATGGCATTTTACAATAAACGCCGCAAAAGGGTCATACATTAGTGGCGTTTTTTAAAAAAAGCTGCAAAAAATTTATATATAGTGGCGTTTTTCTGTAAACGCCGCAATTATTTTTACACATCAGTGGCGTTTGTATTGTTAAACGCCGCAAAGTCAGTTTTAAAACTCCTGAATCCCTAGCCATTTTTTCTTCTTGTTTTTGTCTACGATTTGCCCATTACAATTTACCCACAAAACACCAGCAACCATCTCTTTCACTGCGCCGTGCCTTCTTCGTCTCCGGCGTCGTCGCATTTCGCCATACCCAGGTTAGGCTTTATTTCTCTTCATTCGTTTGCCCTCTTAATTCGTGTGTTGATTCCTTAATTTTTGTCGCCCTTTTCCTCTTAGCCTCGGGACACCGAAAACTCCAAGGCCCGGACCGCTGCCGATATTCAGCGCACTTCCAGCGTACGATTAGACCCTTTTCGGTAAGCAACTTCTTCTCTTCTGTTCTTCTCTTCTGTACTTCAATTGTAATGGTTTTCCTACAATACTCCAAAAATCCCATTTGCAAATATAAGAAATCTGCCCTTATTTTCAAAAATTTCAGTCCCGTAATTGTTGATTTTCCCCGTCACATTCGACTTACTAAATTGTCAGTACTAAAAGTGGCAATGTGAACAATGGAAATGGGTTTTTTCAGCATGTCTTTTGCTTCTTTATATGAGAAAATCTGACGCATTGTGGTTACAGGTTGAATTATTGAAAGGAACTGTTCATGGTTCAATGGAAAGGATTATGTCAGGTATTTCTTGGATTCTAAAATCTTAATTTACTATCTAGGAGGTTGTTAATGGCATAATAATGACTTGGGATAAATTGTGATTTGTTAACTGTATTGTACTCATGAATTGACACATGATACTAGATATATTATACCCACTTCTGGTGTCATGCTTCAAATTAATATCTTATGTTTATTTTTATTATTTCTAGATATATTATGCCATTGCCTGCCTATTAGATCTTTTAGAATTCTTTAGATTATTTGCTTAGACCTAAGCATTATTGATAAAAAGTGGATCACTGTTTTGAAATGAACAAGTAAAATGAATTAGTTTTGGAGTCAACCTTTCTTTACAGTCTTTTCTCCTTTTAAATAAGCCAGTAACATTTTATTAGTTATGTTGGTCTAAACAATGAGGATCAAGCTCCTCATTTCCGGTTTGTATATCTTAATACTATGATCTTTGCACATTGATTGGCTGGTAATTTAACACTTTTTCTTTCTACTTGTACCTCATAGTTTAATTGGTATTCTAAGTCTCAATAGCTTTTTGAGGGAGTAACTGTAACACAACTTGGAATTTATTGTATGTTATCTGTTTGGGAGCTTTCGTTCTTCCGGTTGCACCTTCATGGTCATCGGCATTTGGTGCATTTTGCTACTGAGAATTATGCCATTTTTAGATAGTATTCAATCAATTTATAGTGTTTCAGATCTCTGAAAACTTTTATGTGCTTGATAGGCGAGCCAACTTCCTGTAAAACAAGACTTGTTAGAATTTGAGCACGTGGTGATGACTCAATTTCCGAAGCTGGGTTAGCACTATAGGCATGTATGCATTGTGTTAATAAGAATCTTAAATATAGAATAATATTATGTTAGCATTTTTTAAAACAATTTTTTTTATAATTTCTCTTTTATTTTCAAAGGCTACGACGAAGAGCAAATTGAACGAGAAGCTCGACAGTTTACAACGTCGTTTGGAGCTTCTTGAAGATTAAGTTGGAACTGCTTCTTCTAACCCTTCTCTTTTTAGTACGTGATTCCAATTTTGAATTTTATTTGGTTTAATATCTTTGTTGTGACCTAGTTCTTATCATAGTTTGTTTAACCTTTCGTTTGACCTTCTAAAAACCATAGTCTTTCTTTTATTTTTTTCTCGATGTGGTAAACTTGGTGATTAGTGAATTTTGCTTTTGTATCTTGAATTTCCCCTACAAAACTCGGTGGTTTTTAATTTTCAGCTTATGTATCGAAATTAATGCAAATAAATACATGGTCTTTTGCCATATGTATTAGGGTTTTTACTATGTTCATTATCTTTTATTTCCAGCTTATTAAGGGCCCATTGTATAAACTTAATATGACTAACGTATGCAAAATTGTAGATTGTTCACCCACCCTCCACATAACACATCCTTATTCTTTTCGGATTTTGCTGCTAATAAGCTAATGTTTCATGGAAAACTGGAAAGTCTAATTATTTTATTGTTGCATTATTGTTAACAAAGATTTTTTTGTTGCATGATAAGCTTTGTTTGCTCAAAATGTAAGTAAAAAGTTTTATAGATCTTAACA